TCAAGCGTGAGTCACCAGTTGCTGTAGGTGCAGCTTGGCCACGCGCAGATACTTCTTTGGCCTTCTTAATAAATTAGGGGATGGAATAGCATTCAGTCAATCACAAGTGGCTCTCAAGAACAGACAGAAAACCAGGGAGACTAGAGACAGTATTTCTTCATTTCTGTACAAATCGCTACTCGCACTGTGCGGAGCTTCCAGAGGCCACTGACCAATCTCGAAGGCTCCTCTGACCTCCCTCCCCACCAGCTCTACTCACAGTTTTGGTGAAGTGAGTCCAAATTAACTTATCTGTATCTAAGTGACATGCCTCTAGTGAAATTCTGCAAGGTCTCCAGGTTGAGAACATTGACACAGAGTTTTGGCTAGAAGTAGGCTGTACTAGGGGAAAAAATGGTAATTAAATTATCCTTAAAAATACAGTAATAAAGGAATAAAAAATTCTTTAAAAAGCAGAACTATAAATCTAATCTGTCTTCTGAGTCCACTTACTCATGTGAGGTAACCACCAGCTGTAGATTAAACAGTACAAGAGAGATGAAAAGGGCATTTATTTTTCCCACTTTTGTTAGTCACTGTAATTTTTTTTTTTTTTGGTAGACTGCTTTTGGGAGATGCATTTAGATCATTTTATTACTACAGATTCTGATAAGTTTATAAATTTTTTCTATTTGATCAAAATTCACATGTAACCAAAACAACTAGAAAGATGCAAAAATGGAAATAATAAATAGCAGAAATCCTGTACATTTCTAAATTAATCTTCCATTCAAATTGTTCTTTAAAGAGACACTGTCTCTGTACATTAATGTTGTTGTTCAGTTGTTCAGTGGTGTCTGGCTCTTTGGGACCCCCAAGGACTGCAGCATGCCAGGCTTCCCTGTCTCTCAACATTTCCCAGAGTCTGCTCAAACTCATGTCCATTGGGTCAATGATGCCATCCAACCATCTCATCCTCTGTTGTCCTTCTCTCCTCCTGCCTTCAATCCTTCCCAGCATCAGGGTCTTTTCCAAGGAGTTGGCTTTTCACATCAGGTGGCCAAAGTATTGAGGCTTTAGCTTCAGCATCAGTCCTTCCAGTGAACATTCAGGGTTGATTTCCTTCAGGAAACCCCTGTACATAGTTTACCTTTGAATCATAATGACATGGTAGTTACCGTGAAACCCTGACACAGCCCCAGGGTAACAAGATACCACAAATTCATACATATGTACAAATGCACTTTAATCAAAGATGGAATAGACTGCACAGTGGAAATGAAACTAGGAAGTGTCAAAATAAGTTGCCCCAAATGGTTTATTGTAGTAATTCCATGGTGTTTTGCCATATAGAGACTTTACACAACTATCAAATCAAATCATAAGTTTAAAAAAAATCCCCTTACAGCAGTGACATTCAGTAGAACTCGCTTCATTGAAGAAGCAGACTCTATCTGTTCTCCCCAACATGGCAGCTCCTGTGCGTTGAATTGTGACTCCCCCTCACCCAAAAAGTGTACTCAAGTCCTCACTCCAGGCACTTGTGAAAGTGACCCAAACTTATTTGGAATTGGGATCTTTGCAGATATATTAAGGGCTTCCCTGGTGGCTCAGGGAGTAAAGAATTCCCCTGCAATGCAGGAGACCCAGGTTCGATCCCTGGGTTGGGAAGATCCCCTGGAGAAGGGAATGGCTACCTGCTCCAGTGTTCTTGCCTGGAGAATTCCATGGACAGAGGAGCCTGGGGGGCTACAGTCCATGGGGCTGCAGAGAGTTGGACACGACTGAGCGACTAACACACACACACACACACAAGATGGGGTCATACTGGATGGAGGTGGACCTAAATCTGGCTGGAGTTCTGAGAGATAAGAAGACACAGAGATACAAGGAAGACGCCCATGTGAACCCAAAGGCAGAAACTGGGACATGGCTGCCAGCCAAGAACACACAGGACTGCTGGAATGGACAAAGGAAGGTTCAACTGGATCCATCAGAGGGAGCATGGTCCTGCTGATACCTTGATTCAGGACTTCTACCCTCCAAAACTGTGAGAAAATAAATTCTTGTTGTTTTAAGATAGCCAGGTTGTGGCGACCTGTTACAGCCGCCCCAGGAAACTAATAGGAGAGCCAGGGCCACGCGTGGTTACTGGGCATTTGAGATGTGGCTGGTGAGGCTGAGGAACTAAATTTTTATTAATTAAATAGACACCAAGTGGCTAGAGACTATTATCAGACAGAGAAGCTTTATCAGTCAGGTGACTTTTATAAATCTTATGTATCCAAATCCTTTATCAAATTGATTCTTTGAAAACTGAGAATAAATCATACTATTACCAGCAAGCCTTAGTTAAGCACATACTCTGTGTATATACATATATACACATACATGCATAATCTTTGCTTTAGTCAATAAAATAACATCAGACAATGAAAGGTCAATAAAATAACATCAATAAAGGTCAGCTTCCAAATTACAAACTGGTCATCTCTCTGTATTTTAAAATGAGCTGGAAAACTGCATAGAACTGTCCACATACAACTGAGCTAAGAGTCTTAAGCCCTGAATCCCCCAATCTAAAATGCTGTTTTTCTTGTTTCACGATCAAAAAGCTCCATTAGTTGAGAGATGCTATTCAGATTCACTGAATACTGAATTAACAAAGTGATGAATTGGACTTCATGAAGTATTCATGAGTTCTAATTTAATGCTAATTAAAAAAAAAAAAAAGGCCTGTGTTCAATGATTTTAAGACCCTGGCACAGACTGACAAAAGCACGAAAAATTAAGGTTCAGGGGAAAGCATGGTCCAAAACCCCAGCGTTGAATTACGGAAGTTGGGAGTCCAACATTTATACCTTTCTGGAATAACTGCTCTAGCATGCAACATATAAATAATAAATAAATGTTTAAAACTTATTTTTTGCATACTGAGTTCAATAAAATCGAACAGTGAAAGAAACAAGATATCTGTGCTAGTCACTAACAGTCTGCTTTATGCATGCCAGCTGAATGAAGAATCTCTCTCTTCCCCCAATGTGGCTGAAATATTTACTTTTGAGTGCCATATTAACAGGTAATTAACTATTAAAAATCACAAATGCCATGTAACGTTAAGATTTGCTCTGCTAGGTTTTTTTTTTTAAAGAAAAACATTTCTATTTGGAATTGTTTCTTCATATTGCAGGTGAAAAGATGCAATGAGCAAACCAAGCTATACAAACCTGCAAGCTACTTTGAAGGTCTAAAACAGTAACAGTCTGGCATGCAAATAATACTCAGCAACTTTAATTCCCGGTTTAATTGCAACAGTTAATTTGAAAATATTTTCTGGATAGGACTGAAGACACCAGTTTAACCACCAACTAGACATTCTCTGATGGTAAAGAATCCCCCTGCAATGTGGAAGAACTAGGTTCGATCCCTGGGTTGGGAAGATCTCCTGGGGAAGGGCATGGCAACCCACTCCAGTATCTCGTCTGGAGAACCCCCATGGACAGAGAAGCCTGGCGGGCTACACATGGGGTCGCAAAGAGTTGGACACGACTGAGTGACTAACACAGCACAGGTATGAAAAATGCAATTTTACTTTATTTTCCTTAGAATTAAATCTTAACCAATGTACTTTTAAAAGTAAAAACTGAGCTAAATTAAAAATAGTGGTATGGTTTCCACTCTTTCAAGGTACCCATTTTAAAGATCTCTGTTCTACAAAGAATCAATGAACTAGAACCTTAACTGGTTTCAAATAACTTTAAGATTTTAAACAAAGCATTTTCTAACTGGAAATTTTCAGAGGCATGCAGACTGTAAGAACAATAGTGTAGATCTTCCAGAAAATATTTAGTTGAGGGACAATCAGAGGAGGGGCAGTAAGCTTTAAAAGCCACACATTTTCTGAACCTTCAAGTAAAGAGAAAATTCCTATCCTCCAGCGAAAGGTCAAGGGAATCAGGCAATGAGGAGAAGAACCATGTTGCCAAGTGTTACAAAGAACTGAGAAACGTAATTAATGTCACTCAATTACAACTCCCATCATCCATGAGGAGCTGAAGTATTAAACTTCCTTTCTCAAAACAGTATAGACACAGTGGAATGTTATGCAGCCATTTAAATTATTATTCTTCCTATCTATTTTCATTTTCACAGTAAATTAAGATGTTCAAACATATAGATGAAAAAATTATGAAACAATGCCATAATTTCATTTTTATTTCAAAATAAAACAAAAAACATACATACATGTAGGTACACACCTTGAGTCTGGCGCCTTAGACCACTTGGCCATCCTGACACGCTCATACATACATGTAGGTAGAAAAAAGTTTGAAAGGACATATACCAAAATGTGAATGACAGAAGTAACAGTGATAGGATTATGAGTGATTTTTATTTTCTTTGGTATACTTTTCTATATTGTCTAAATGTTTTCTGGTGAACACTGTCCATTTCAAAGAAGAAAAACAATAAAGCTATTTTCATTCCGGAGAAAATATTAGTGGGAATTTAATAGTTAAATCGCTTGGGAAACAGGATTCATTTTATCATAAACCTACCAGGATCCCTTTTACTGTAAAAAGACTTAAAATGTATTCTATAAATATACCATGGACTCTCATGAACAATGAAAGCACACCTTGCTTTATGACATATTTATGAAAATTCCTCTGAAAACTGAAGTTTTTAAGAGAAATTAATACTTGAGTTGGCTACTTAAATCTTATTTCAAATTCTTCTGGATAAAAGAATGTCTACTCCCTAATTTATCTTGTGAAAATTCAGACTTTTTGCTTAAAGCAAGATTCACTCTACTTTTATTTATTCCTGAGAGAGAAATCCATCATGCTTTGATTTAGGAAACCAAGTGATCTGGAATTCTAATTACTGAAAATGAAACACTATCATTCATATACAGTCAACGTCTTACCTCTGTTTTCTGCATATTCACTACAGGTAAAATGTCTCTAAGAATCTGTGACAGATGAAAACACAGGTCTTTTAAGTAATGACCAGCAAGAGCCATTGCAGATAGAAAGTTTTATTCAAGCTTTATCAAATGGACTGTTCAAAAAGCATATAGAAGTGCAAAAAATGTCACATGCAATCAAACTTATTTTGCCTTTTATAGTCACTGGTTCTCTTTTGGAAAATAATACACATTTGAGTAACTTCTAATTCAAACATTTCCCAATTGTTTCTATTTATTTCCTTCTTTAAGCAACAATACATACATTTTAAGTAACTGATCATCTTTCTTATCCTTATCCTACTGAAAAAAAAATAAAGCCGATAAAATCAAACCATACACTGACCAGAAATCTGAAAAGGTTCATTTATATAATAAATTCCCATACATAAGAAGTCATATACAAATGATATTTTGCTAAATGGATAAAAATTAGAATAAGCAGTTTGAAAGTAAACATAAACAGTTATAATTTCTTATCTAAATAATTTTAATCAAATGAATAATATATTCATCTGATAATAGCCTCTATCTTTCAGAATACAAAAGAAAAGTGCTCAGATTACATTTAAAAAAATAAGATAAAGGTCTCACAGAACTGAAATAATTTAAATAAAGATGGTATCATGGAGAATCTATTACATTTTTGTTCCCAAGACGGGGAGGCAGGTGTTAAGTTTAATCTGAAACCAGAAACAGACTACAACATGAAGACTGCAATTGCAAAGCTTCTAGCCTTGAGAAGATATAAACTGTCTTGGCAACGTCCTCACGTGCCCATCTTTAGAAGTAAGCCATTAACATAAAATCAGACTCCTCAGCTAGACTATCAACTGACCAAGTCAAGTCACTTTTCTTGACTGTACTTTCCTAGCCCACTAACAACATTACTCAGTGAGGGCTCCAAAGAACAAATAATTGTCTTTTGAAGATACTTTGTTCATTAGGATGGATACAGTACCTACTCTCAAAAACAACAACACAAGAATAGAATATAGCAACCCAGAAGTAGAGTCTTCACTCTGGAGCTTCACTGCAGCCAACCTAGAAGGCCACCCTCAGAGTCAGCACCCCATTCCTAGGTAGGGGCTGAATTCTGCAGGAAGAAGCCTGAGTCATGGTAAAAAGTAAGACTCAAGCTTTCTCTTCATTTGGTACTCGAGTTGTGATCTTAATGAATTCCACTCTACATGCTAATCACTACAATAAGAGTAGTTTAACACGCCTGATGACATCACACCAGACATTCCAAAGCCAAGGGTACCAGCTGTGCACTTACTATGTACTTTAACACTGAGATTGCTTAAAGTATTTCTAAAGTCCTATTTTGATGTTTCTTTCAACTCAGTAAGATTTCAGATCACTCTTACTTTCTTATGTATGCTTTTCTTCAAGTTTACTTGCTTCAGAGTATCCTTTTCATAAATGAAAAAAGCTAACTTCACTTTAGAGGGAAATTTTTTTTTTTTTAATGTTCTATAGATTCTGAAGGCAGTTCTAAGTAAGAGCCTATCAAATGCTCTTGGGAGACTATTTTGAAGGGCAAAATTCCAGAGTATGCAAAATCCACATCATCACTACTCTGTCCCCCATTAGCTAAGCACCTGCCCTTGGTAGGTGTTAGGCACACACACACATTTTCTGTGTGAGTGAATAAATACAATTTATTTGGATCTAGAACTTCTAGACATTCGATTTTTAAAATCATTCTCTTGGGATCCTTCTTTTTAGTCTAGCTAGCTGGAATTATTTTCTAATATTTTATATCTCAACTCAGTGCATTTAGGAGAAAAGTTTAAAATCAAGCCACTAAGTTTAATAAAATGGCTTTTTTAAAAAAAGATCAGTAGAAAATGGGAAAATGGAAAAAACAGGAAATGAAAAGGACTCAGTGGCCAGGCATGTGGCAGCAGATGGTGGCCAGCTGCAAAGATGCACAGGAGAGTAAGCTCCTCCGTCCATCCGTCACCATCTGCAGCGTGGCTCAACTATGAGGGAACGTGCCTGCTCCCTCCCTGCCTCCTGGCACCGTGCCTACCACCTTTAAGGTGGGGGACAAGGGACTGCTGACTGAGTGAAGGGCCAGAGAGACCAAACAGAGGGACACAGGGCCCACCTCTGCTCAGATTACTACGTGTGGCATCTCCTGACTTTCAAATCAAAGAGCAGGAAGCGGGTGCTTTCGCCTCCTGCCCTGAAACAGAGTTCACAATGCGTCTTATGTCACTAAATGCGATGTGTAGCATAGCTATAAAAGTAGTCAGAGAGAAACTAATTTTTAACCAATAACCAAAGACCAGTGTCCTGAGTTCTAAGAAAATAAAAACTAGTGTATATGTATCTTTGAAGGGGCTTAGGTCAAGGCAGGAGGCACCAATTTTCTAAAAACAACCTCTTACTTGTTAGATTTTGAGAAATAAAGCAGGCTACCCCAGTCTGGACAATATATAACTAGGGCAATCACATATTTTATTGTCCAAACAGGGATATTTTGCAGAGTAACAAGGAACATGAGAAATAATTATTCTAGGAAAAATAATCGCGCCAAGACAGCAGACAAGAATGAGACTGTCCTGGGTAAACAGACATTCGATGTTAACACAACATCCTTTTCTGTAAGTTTGTACTGTTTCCTTTTCTCAAGTTTTCTGTGAAACTACGTAATGTAACATTCAGCAGTAAAGTGATATTGAACACTGAACAGCATCCCAGTCCTGATCCCTTGAGAAGACGTTTTCTAAGTGACCAAACAGAATTCCCACCTTCTTCCCCACACTTGAGGTTTTTTCAGCAGAAACTGATGGTTTAAGTGGATCTGAAGAAAAAGTCTGTTTTAATTTCTCTAACAGAACAAAAAAAAGTACAACTGTGATTTAAATTACTTAAGGTTCACTTATACATTTTTACCTCCCAAAATATTAACAAGAGAAGTTAATCGTCTCTTGTTCATGAAGCAGACTTCTGAAACAATCAACCCCAATTATGAGTCGATGTCATAACACAGTTTTAAAATCTTTGTTATTAACCATGAGATTTTCACAAATACATATGCCACAAAATATTTTAGAAAAGCTGCGTAGCCATCAGAATTAGAAAAGTCGAACCTGGGGAGGGTCACCGAGTTTCCCCCTAGTGATGAACTCGCACCGTGGCACACGTCAGCAGGGCAGCGCAGGAGCGCCCAGGGGCCCAGGGGGCTGGAGAGGCCGACGGGCTGATCAGTTTCGGAACAGCAGCATCCGCTCGGAGCACGCCTGCCCCACCAGCCTCGCGTACTGCAGCACGGCCGCCTCCTCGCTCGGGTCTCTCTGCTGCTTCTTGTAAACACCGTAAGGCATTATGGCTTTCTTGTAGAACACCTGCAGGCGGTCAGGTTCCTTGCTGCGACCTTCGTCTACTGCAAGAACAAAAACTACTGATTAAATACAGTCACCTATAGGACCACTTTTCACGTCCTAATTTAAGAGTACTGAAGTATATAAAAATCATGTATTAAGATGTCCTCTCTGCGCGGTATGTTCAAACGAGGGTGTGCACTATTCAGATCAACGGGAGTATGTTAATGAATAACAAATGCGTTGCTTTTGTTGTTGCTGTCGTTCAGTCACTCAGTCGTGTCCGACTCTGCGACCCCATGGACTGCAGCACACCAGGCTTCTTGTCCTTCACCATCTCCCGGACTTTTTTCAAATTCATGTCCATTAAGTCTGTGATGCCATCCAAACATTAAGGACAAGCAAGGAATTGTATGCAATTCAAAAAGTGGCCTTCAATCTCTTATTATTTTCTTATACATAATGAAGTTTGCAGCTTTCCAGCACCTTTCCTAAATCTGATTTAAATTTATTTTGCTTCTCCTCAAGTCAACATATATCTTTGCAATGTGGCCTTCTGCTGACTCAGCAGTTTGGGCTGACTTAAACTGGTCAGGTTGGGGCAACGAGCACTCATATTGTGGGCAAGAGGGCAGATGCGTACAGCTTTCACGGAGATGGCCACTATCAGTTCTCCTCTTCTTCCACATAGAAGAACTCTAGGTTTTCAGCAGAGCAGACTGTGTCCCAGCCTCCCTTGCAGCCGGGTATGGTTTTGTGATTAAGTTCTGACCCATAACACACAAGCAGACAGTCTAATAGGTCAGCTGGTCCAGACCTTTGCCTCTTGCATTTTTCAGCCCTTCCTTCATTCTGCCTCTTGGAGTAAGAATGTCACGGTAGGAGCTCTAACCTCTATCTTGAGCTTGAGGTTAAGAGCTTTCCCTTAGTCTGGCAAAAACAAAATCTAGAAGGAACCTGGGTACCTGAGAACTTTGTGGAATAAAACAGCCATTCCAGCCCTGGACTGCTTCTGTGTAGAATTTTACATTAAAACAGAACTAAGCTATCTTATTTAAGACAAATTATTTTGAGTTTCTATTATTGGCAGTTGCTCCTAAGCCTAATATAGAAAACAGCGTTACAGTTATCTCAAAGATGTATGTTTGTTTGTTTTTTTTTAAATAAAATCACTGACTCAGCAAGACCAGTTCTCAGAATCATTCTAAGGCTGACTAAACATCAGAACCATCTAAAGAGTTGTTTTGCTTTGTTTTTTTAATGAATCCTATCCTCAGAGATCTTGATATGAAAACTGATCGGAATGAACCTGCACATCAGTGTTTTCTTAAGCCTGAGAGGTAGACTGAGAACCACTCTCCTAGAAAAACACACACACACCAGTGTTTATGTATGTGTTTTGGTCAACTCAATATAAGGATATTTACAGCAATACTATCACATTGAAAAACTGGAAATAACATAGATGTCCATCAGTGGAGAACTGGTTAAACATGTTAACTTATATCCACATGGTAAAATGTTTTATGGCTATTAAAAAGGCAGAAGAAGATAGATTGTTACGTAAAAAAAAAAACAAAGACAGGTTCAAAATAAACAACTCTTGTTTTTATGAAAAGCCTAGTATATGCATAGAAAAAACCTGGACAAATATACGTCAACCTGTTAACAGTGAAAGTGAAGTCGCTCAGTCATGTCCGACTCTTTGCAACCCTATGGATTGTAGCCCACGGAATCTTCCAGGCAAGAGCACTGGAGTGGGTTGCCATTTCCTTCTCCAGGGGATCTTTCTGACCCAGGCATCAAACCCGGGTCTCCCGCATTGCAGGCAGAGGCTTTACCTCTGAGCCACTAAGGAAGCATAGAAAAAATCTAGACAAACAGACGTCAACCTGTTAACAGTACTTATCTCTAACTATTCCCTTTGCCTAGAACCACCCTGACTTCTACTATCACCCTCCCTGAGTCCGGGCCCCTTTTCTCTTCAGCCCAGGGGTGGCAGTGGTTTCCTGCTACTGCTATTCTCTGGATCAACTATCTGCGCTTTGCTTGGCTCTCAGCAATACCACTGCCTGTTATCACCAGAATCCTGAATTAAATGTTCTCTGTTGTAAAATACTTGAAGTGGCTCCTGGCTGGACACACCACCATCAGAGTATGTGCTTTTTCTTACAAACATCCAACTGAAGCAGAAAACCCACATACTTTAAGCCAACTAAACATTTAACATTTACTAGGTTGCCGCATCCTTTAGCAGGGTAAATGATAAGCAAAGGAAAAGGCAGGAACCTGGTTCCTGCTGTCCATTTCACAGAGGTTAAAGTACATGGATTGCAAGACAGGAATCTCTATCACCCAGCAACAGATGCCACTTGCACGGAAAGATTAGATTCAAACATGGTTAGTATGGTTAGTCGTGTCTGACTTTTTGTGGCCCCATGGACTGTAGCCTGCCAGGTTCCTTTGCCCAGGGTATTTTCTGGGCAAGAATACTGGAGTGGGTTGTCATTCCCTCCTCCAGGGGATCTTCCTGACCCCAGGGATCGAACCCAAGTTTCTTGACTCTCATGCATCAGCAGGCAGATTCTTTACCACTAGTGCCAGCTGGGAAGCCCCCAAGTACGCTTAGAAACTAACACAAATGGAAAACTAGTAAAGATAAGTAAGAACAGCAAAGGAGAGAAGAACACTGACAAAATTGCACAAAATCCTCTAAATCTAAAACCTTCAATTTTTCAAATGGAATTTTAAAGCATGTTTATATTTAATGATGTAGAATGATGTTTAACAGTTTAAACCTTTATCCTAAAACATCTTAAGACAGACATCTTTTAAGATTCAAATGAATGGAACACACTAACAAATAAGAATTTAAAGTTTGACATGCCATTATCTTATTTTATCTAAAATGAAATGCTGCCCTCTAATTTTTATCCTTTTCCAATTTGGCATATAAAAATGAAAACAGAAGATTAGGAAAAACCCACCATTATGTATAATTTACATCAACTATTTTAAAGTGCACACTCCTAGAGAACAGGAAATTTTGTATTGTTTCATTTGTCAAAAATATATTTCATTTCTATTTACTAAGATTATAGGGAAAGCTTTAAGATTATATGCATATCAGATTTTGGTGAAAACACTATGATATAGAAGTTTTAACCACTGAATTCCAAACAGTCCTGTGATGCTGCTGAATCTATTTTTAATTTATATATCTAATTTAACTTCATTGCTGTTGTTCAATTGCTCAGTTGTGTCCGACTCTTTGTGACCCCATGGATGACAGCATACCAGGCTTCCCTGTCCTTCACCATCTCCCAGAGCTTGCTCAAACTCATGTCCATTGAGTTGGTTAGGCCATCCAACCATCTCGTCCTCTGTTGTCCCCTTCTCCTCCTGTCTTCAATCTTTCCCAGCATCAGAGTCTTTTCCAGTGAAAAGCTTCAGCTTCATGATGCCTGTCCAGTGAATATTCAGGGTTGATTTTTCTTTAGGATTGACTCATCTCCTTGCATTCCAAGGAACTCTCAAGAGGCTTCTCCAACACCAGAGCTCGAAAGCATCACTTCTTCAGTACTCAGCCTTCTTATGGCCCAGGTCTCACATCCATACATGACTACTGGAAAACCCATAGCTTTGACGATACAGACCTTTGTCAGCAAAGTAATATCTCTGCTTTGTAATATGCTGTCTAGGTTGATCATAGCTTTTTTTCCAAGGAACAAGCGTCTTTTAATTTCATGGCTATAGTCACCATCTGCAGTGATTTTGGAGCCCAAGAAAATTAAGTTTGTCACAGTTTCCATTGCTTCCCCATCTATATGAAATGAAATGATGGGACTGGATGCCATAATCTTAGTTTTCTGAAAGATGAGTTTTAAGCCAGCTTTTCACTCTCCTCTTTCACCTCCATCAAGACTTCTAAATTAATTTATAGCATTTTGGAGATCCCTACAGCATAGAAATCAAATTCAATAGTTCTTTTTATTCCAAATACTTTTGAGGCCGCTGTTCTGGATTAAAGCAGTCAAATGCTCAAGATACTTAAAAAGTAGGTATCAACTAGATATTGCCCTTTTTAATATCCTATATAATTACCACAAAAAGTGGTAATCATGAATTTTAAAATCCTCTCCTAATTCCCTTCAATGTTAATATAGCCAAGCCGCTGGAGATGCAAATATATTTGACCTCAGTGCTCAAACAACTTCTGAAGTTCATGGCATTGTGGTTACTGTTATTGTTGTTGCCTAATATCCCAAATGCTGTATTCCTGATGCTCTATCAATGATTCACCAGAAATAATGAGACTTAATTGAAACTCTTTATAAATTTACTGAAATACAAATTAGTTTTCTTAATTGTCCTAAATAATTTTCTCATCACACGTTGACTGTAAAAAAGGCACAAAACATACACATAAAGAGTAGCACTAAGGTGTCTCTTTCTCTACCTAAAAAAAGCAACTTAGACTGCAACTCAAATTTAGTATGTAAGCTTGGAATTCTATCTGCCCAGTGGTGCCAAAATATCAACCTAACACTGCCAGTAGTTCTGAAACAGAGATCAACAAGACACACAGTAAGAGAAACAAAGAAACGATACATTATGAATATTTTAAAGCCTGATACTTCAGTAACTTGAGCAAGCTCCAGGAGTTGGTGAAGGACAGGGAAGCCTGGTGTGCTGCAGTCGACAGGGTGGCAAAGAGTTGGACACAACTGAGTGACTAAACTGATTGATTTCAGTAACTTGAAGTAATTTGACATTTTCTAGGAATTAGCCATCAATGAAATTACAGAATATTCAATAAATGCACATTAATTTCTTATTTTGTATCTTTTTAATTCATGAAAACAATGCTTTTTTAGGAACTCAAGTAATACAGAAACAGAGTGATGTCAGCTCTCATATACAATCCTTTCTCCCCTTTGCATCAGTAAATTATCAATGTGTAACAATCCCAAGAGCTGCATTTAAATACTTAAATACAGATTGGGGGGGGGGGGTGTCACATTGTAGCCACATCTTGTATTAAGGCCAGGAAATCAGATCA